GGGGGGGGGGGGGCGCCCGAGTTTTGTCTTGCCTAGGGCAGCCCCAAACCTAAATACACCACTGGGCACCTATACCCGGTGGGAATGCGGATTGTCTAAAATGGTAGTGAGAGGTGAAGGAAAGGGAGAGATCCTACCTCCCTTAAAAATGGGCCGTGCAATCTTGACCGTGGGACCAGTGGTAGGGTGGGATTGTAATTGTGGAGGTAAAGGAGTGGTACACCAAGGGAGATTGGCTAAAGGGACATCTGCAGACGATTGTTCCAGGTCCACCCAGAGTTTGGTTTGGGAGTTGTGGCACCAGTCTACTATACATGTCAGGTGGGCCGCCACATAGTACTGTCGTACATCTGGCAGTAACATCCCGCCCTGTTGTTTGGGTCTACGCAGCTCGTAGCTGAGCCTGGCTGGTCCTGTGACCAGACAAACCCAGTGAAAAGCTTTTGAATTTTACGGAAAAAAGGTGTGGGGATGAGAATCGGGAGGGCTTGAAGGGGGTAGAGTAGTCTAGGGAGGATAGACTGCTTTAGTATGTTACATCTTCCCATCCACGAGAAGGTATTTTTAGTCCACGCCTCAAGGTCTGCAGTTATGCGCTGCAGAAGCGGAGGGAAGTTCAACGTGAATGTTTGGGATATATCTTTGGGTAGAAGTATACCCAGATATTTAATCACGGTCTGTGCCCATTTAAAGGGAAAGCTGTGGAGAACTCTCTGGAGGCATGGTCCCACAATAGATACATGGAGTGCCTCAAATTTATGGGAGTTTATTCTAAAATTTGAGAGGTCTCCATAAATACCAAACTCCTGGAGAAGGGCAGGAATAGAGATATCTGGGGAGGACAAGAAAAAAAGGAGGTCATCCGCGAAGGCTGCGATTTTGTAACGGTTAGTCCCCTCCATCACACCTCGGATATCTGGGTTAGCTCGGACAGTATGTAGAAAAGGCTCCAGGCACAATATAAAAAGGACTGGGAACAGGGGGCAATCCTGGCGTGTGCCGTTACATATGGGGAATGAAGGGGTAAGAGCGCCGTTGACCCGTACTCGGGCAGCCGGATGGGAGTAAAGGGAGCTAATCCAAGAGCGCATACAGGGTCCCACTCCGATTGCCTCAAGGGTGAGCCAGAGGAACTCCCCAGTCTACCCGGTCGAACGCCTTCTCCGTGTCTGTGGATACAAACACGCACGGTTTGGCGCCCGACCGGGCCGAGTGGAGCACCCCCAGCGCTCGCGTGGTATTATCCCTCGCTTCCCTGGTAGGTATAAAGCCCGTTTGGTCTAGGTACACTGGTTGCCGTACTCATAAAAGGTACGGCGACATTTGAGCAGAGATGCTTTCGCTTTAAAAGTAGTTGTTTCCTCACTGAGCAAAGCTCTGCGCTAATGATCGCGTCCGCTGTAAGTTTGTGACGAGTTTCCAGAGAGTGGATCCTCGTTAAAAGGGAGGCAATATCTTTTAAGCGCTGTTTTTTAAGCTGGTATCCCCGCGCAATCAGCAGGCCCCTGACAGTCGCCTTGTGTGCTTCCCATACCATGTATGGGGAGATATCTGGCGTGGAGTTCTCAGAAAAGAACAGGGAGAGGCTCCTGGAGCAGGGTATCATTCAACCTCCACTGCCAGGGACCGGGCGCTAGATCGTCCAGAGCTAAGGTCAGTAGGATGGGTGCATGGTCTGATAGGGTGATATTGCCCACCTCTGCGTCGCGGATCCTGGCCAATTGGCTATGGGGCATGAAGAAATAATCTATGCGTGTATAACTTTGATGCAAGGGTGAGAAGAATGTGTAGTCATGGTTTGAGGGATGTTGTAGGCGCCACACATCTATCAATTGGTGAGAAAAGAGGAAATTCTTGAGACGTTTAAGAGCTGCTAAAGAGAGGTGGGTGGAGGTATGTGAGGAGTCTAGATTAGGGTCCAGGACGAGATTAAAATCTCCTCCCAGGATCACACTCCGACAGGTGGTTCAGTACGTGCTCAATGAATGAAATCTGATGATGGTTAGGGGCATAAATATTGGCCAGTGTTATTATTTTAGAGCCAACAGTACCCTTAATAAAAAGGACCTGACCTTCCTCTCCAGAAAACTGGTCCAGTAACAACCATGGTGCATTTCGAGAGAGTAAAATACTTACTCCTCTGGATCTCTTGTCCTGCCCGTCTCCACGCGGGGGACGTGGTCAATATTGAAGTGGGTCTCCTGGAGGAGGGCAACATCGACCCCCTGACGGTTTAAATCACCCCATATCATTCTCCTTTTTCAGGAGCGTTCAACCCTTTGACATTCAAAGAAAGAATTTTAAGGAGTGCCATCTTGCAGCCCGGGCAGGAAGGTATGAACTGAGAAAAAAAAAGGAAGATGGGGAGGAGAAGAAAAATAAATAAAGTGAAGGAAGGGGGCAGAAGGGAGGACAGGGTGGGTATGATGTGACAAATGTGTGAGGTAGTGTCAACTATTGAATAATACAGTGCAGGTAAGATTAAGGTGAGACAGGAGGGTAGAGATAAGGTAAGTGAGGGAGGGAAGTGGGATATAATCTAATCGTGTAGACTACAAAAGTGGAAAAAAGAGGGGGGAAAAAAAGAAGAAAAAAAGGTATTCACCTATACACGGCTGGACTACCAGTCAATTGGGTCACCGCGGTCTCCAATCGTACGTGGAGGAGGCGGTGAACCCTAGCCTATTGGGGGGGTCACAGGTAAGCTCAGCAGTGTATATTAAAAAAGAAATACTTAATACATACTATGAATCATAGCATCAAGATGCTACCAACATAAGCATCTTATAACTTCATAACAAATACAAACCCTAACTGAAACAAGAGAGCTCTTAGGTCAATTAGATAACAGTTTATCTACTAGTTAGTGTGCTATCGTGGGAAGTGAAGGGGTTATTGACACACTCATAATGGAGCATGGAGTATAGCCGGTCACCAAGTAGCCATGTGCAATGCCTAGCACGTGAAGTCGACTGCATGTTCCCTGTGTGTCACGGCCAAGTCATTGCCCATGTATCCCCCGATCGCCTCACACACAAGTATGGGGGGGGTCGGGGGGCCCCAGACCCCTCCAGGAGAAACGGAATAGATAATAATAAATAAACATTGTGTCCCACACAGTTTATAGTGCTATACGTCACCCATCGAAGCTGTTATCCACAGGATAGCATCACCGGGGTCAGCTCGGTGGGTCTGGGTAAGAGGGTGGGGGTGATAGTCATGCAGTGACTAAGAACATGGTGCAATGGGGGGTGTCATCAAATGTTGCGGTTAACTCTGTAGATTATAGCCGTGAGCGGGGTTTCCGAGCGAGTTTTTCACTTCTCCAGGGGCTTTGGGTCACTCGCAGGGTCATGGAGGTCCCGGTCCAGGGTTAGGGGAGTTGGAGGTCCAGATCGCGTGCCGTTGTTGAAAGGTGCTCGCCGATGGATGCGCTGGGGTATGGTACGCTGAGCGTCTAGAAGGTCAGGGTGAAGCCAGTCCTGGATCTCCACTGGGGCAGTCTCCAAGAACGAGAAGAAAGACGTCAGTTGATCCGGGTGTCGTAGGGTAAATATCTCTCCATTTCTACGTACATTAAGGCAGAATGGGTAGCCCCATGTATAGATCGCTCCCGCTTGTCTGATTACAGTGAGAAGCGGCTGCAATGTCCGGCGCATCTGCAAGGTACGTCTGGATAAGTCTGGTAGTAGGGTGGCCTCTGAGTCCTCACAGTTGATCGAACCTTTCCGCCAGGCCTGGCGAAGGACGGCCTCCTTCCCCGTGGAGTAATGGATGCGGCAGAGGACGTCTCTGGGTCGGACATCTCCATCAGGTCGCGGGCCTCCAACCCGGTGTACACGGACCAGCTGTAGTGGGGCTGTTGGGGGCTTATCTAATAGCCCGTTAAGGATTCGGGAGACCGTGGCGCGAAGTTCGGTAGACAATGTCGATTCCGGCATACCTTGCAGCTTCACATTGTTGCGGCGGGAGCGGTTTTCGAGATCATCGTGTGCCAGCGTCACTGAGGTGAGTCGTGACTCCTGAAGCGCGACCTTAGATTCTAGTGTAACCAACCATTGGATGATGGTATCATGGTCTGAGCGGAGCGAGATCACATGGTCCTCTAAGTGGCTCACCACGGTCGACATCTCGACTGTATCCCGTTTGAGCACTTCCTCCATCTGGGAGACCATGTCAGCCATGTCCTGTTTGGTCGGTAAGGAGAGCAGGATAGAGGATATCTCTCCAGCCGACAGGTGATGGGAAGAGGCTGGGAGGGTCCCAGCAGGTTTCTAAGTGACACCGACGGCGTAGTCCGCGCTGTCTCAAGCAGCGCCATGCGGCTTGCCGTAGATGAGCGGGTGGAGATAGCTGGGGATGTAAAAAACTGATTGTAGGTTCCCGGTTTTCTGTCCGCTGGTGGCTGCGGGTGGTTTGCCCTTCGTAGCCATTGATTTGGATACTCAGTTAGGGGTGATAAGCTGAAAGATGATTGGTTGGCAGCAGAGCTCAAACGAGCTACATCCTCACACCACCATAGCTAGGCCACGCCCCCCACAAAGTCCTTTTTGAAGCTTTATTGAACTCTAACCATGTTGCACAGTCCCACCCACAGACACACTTTACTTGCGTTTCACCCTACATGGGATTAGTTGCAGAGATAGTGTCTAAGACCATGTAGTATGAAATGCCTTGGAGTGGGGCAGACCAGAGGTGGGACTGGTTGGAGTTCAATAGAGTTGCTTTTATTGAGTGACATCATTAGTATGAGACCTAGACATTTATTCTCAGGAGAACCCCATTAGCTCACGATTCTCGGCGGGTTTTCAAGCATGCTCGGGAGACAAAAGACGTGCGACCGTACAGTAGAAACGGTCGCATGCCTTCCATACACCTGCCGATTATCGTACGATTGCGGGATTTTCCGCGATTATCGTACGATAATCGTCAGGTGTATGGGCACCTAAAACCTGCCGAGAATCGCACGATTGTCGGCGGGTTAGTGACGTTCTCGGGAGACAAATTGCCACACGTGCCGGTGTGCGCAAGCGCACACTGCCCGTGCGGCATCGCAGTCATCGGAAGCCTGCCCCTCAGCGGGGAGGGCTTGCGATGTTTGCAAATACGATCTGCTTGTCCAAGATGGGCAGATCGTACGTTTTTTTAAATTACCTTACAACCATCGCAAGACAAAAGTCTTGCGATGGCTGTAAGGTGTATGGCCAGCTTTTGGACTAACCATTTAAATCCAAACTTCAGCCTTTAATCAAGTTATTAGCACTTTGCTTTCTATAATTGTTTGACTAGCGCAATACTGGCTTGCGTGATGGGGATATAAAAAAATATCTAAACTCAGAAAAATAGCTTGAATTCAGCCTGTGTATTTCAGATACACACCTCTCCAAACCTTGATGGGAATAAACAGACTGAAAATGTGGTTAAGGGAAAGTATGAAAATTAAACCGCTGCTAAACCATATAGAGCAAAGTAATATAATATATATAATATTTTTGATTTTTTTTTTAGAAAATGGCTCACAGCATCACAGCTGTTTCTTTTTATTCCCTTCATACATGCTTTTTCACTAGGGTCCTTTGACATTATGACAAGTCAATGACAACCGTTACTCACAGGAAACGGATTGAAAAAGACTAAAACTGCTGATTTACTTTGTGGTTCCACCAGCTTTAATATACTTCCCTTGTTCCCTTGTTTAATTGCCTGTGGAAAGTGAAAAGAAGAAGTAAGGTCCAAGTCACTCTTGGAGCTAACATAGGAGTAGGGCCTATTCTCCACTCACTTAATATTGCTTCAACCTGTCAATTAGCTATACAGGAACCCAGCACTGCATTGTGGGAGGAAGCAGAAATGGGAAGTCTCAGCAATGATGGTGCTGTAGTGAGGTGGACCATTAGCCTTAAACAATAGACTCCAATAGGCACCAATATGTTCCTTAATCTGAAGTTATTGTTAAGTTACCAGTAAAAGCAAAGTGGTGACTTTACAATACAATCAATTTACGGAACAATGTGATATGCTGCCCATATGCAATCTAATGCCCAGAACTGTGTGTAGTGGGATAATGATATTCACCATATAATTCATGTTGATATTAGTATAAACAATATTATTAATATAGTTAGGTTAGTTTTAGCCTTGCAGAGCATTTCACACATAATAGATACATTTAAGATGAATTCTCTACTTTCATATAAGTAATGTATTGTAGAGAATAATGGGTGAGTAAACTGATTAGTCCAGCATTTATATAAAACACAACCAATAGTGTATATTTGTGTAATCAATATCTATATATTGGCAAACAGAAATATATTACCAGTGATTATAGTAATAGATATTATGTATATATCCTTATTATCCTGACTTGTATAGCCAAGATGTCATATACACATGTAATACATATATAATGAGTTGCATGAATAAGCAACATGTTGAACATTTCGCTTTATGGTTTAATGTAATTAGAGTTCATGTAGAACTTTTAGCTTTGTAAATCGTGGTAACTAGAGTTCATTGAAAGAAAGTCTTAAACACATTTTCTGAAATTGGCTTGTGGAAAAATAGGTTCAATGCCAGGGCTGCTGTCCTCTGACCTTGATGTGAGTCTTATCAAGGCTAGAAGACCCATCTAAAGCTCTTGTCATGATCTAATGAGTACAGGGTGGCATTATTATCTGATTTTTGTAGATAATGCAACGTAACTCATATGGTTCTATTGTTCAAATGCTTATAAAAAATTGCCTGCAAGCCAATATTCTTTGAACGCATCTGAACTGCTGCTTGTTTCTAGCCGGCCAAATAAACCTACTTCTTGAAGACCTGCCTAATGTCTATCCTCTGTTTATTCTACCTCAAGTGTCACATACCTGGTGAAGACAAATATGATGAGGATTGCCTCTCTTACACTACAGTCCTAGAGCCCCTGGAAGTAGGGAGACAAAATACTGAGGCAGCAGAGTGGCACCAGCCAGAGAAAGATTAGGACCATGTCATGTTTATATTGTTGTCTGAGCCCCTGTTGGTTAGATTTGCCCTCCCTATTTGACCAGGGGACTATTTCTAACAAGACAGAAAATTATGGGAAGTCCAAAATTGTATGTGTCACCAGAATAAGATTTGGGGGTAATTCTTCCAATGGGGACACCTGTTCCAGTAAGAACAGCCTAAAATGGAAATATATGTTACCTTGTAAAGATTATCTCTGACTTCTTATTGCATTTCCAAACAGGAAAATCTTTTTTTTTTAAAAGGACACAGACAGCACCAGGTTTGAACTCTTCTCTATCCAAAAAGAAGTTATGGCTATACATATACTTTAAATAGGGCACGTGGAGCCAATGCTGACACTGGGTGTGCGTGACTACAGACACAGATGCAGATACAGATTTGACCATATCTGCAGGGAAACGTGCCAGCACATGTTGTCTTCAAAAATACTCTGTGATGCTGCCCACTGTTTGGAGTCTAGTGGGACCTTCCCGCCAAATGTGGATTACATTGAAACCTGTGTTGGCTGTAAAATTACAATAGTGGGACAAATGCTAATTGCAACTGAACCTTGCCAGTTCCTCAAAACAGCCACAAAGTCTTTCAAGTTGCTTCCTGACCTATGCAGACATGGTGGGTAATCGCACAACAGACAATGAAAGTTATATGCACAGAGATAAAAAAAACACCTCCCTTACAAGACCTTAACTGAAATGCCATTGTTAAGTTACGTTAACTGGAAATGGGTACACCATCCGCGGACTGATAAGCTGCAATATATTATACTTTTGTTCTTGGATATGAATATGCTTTAATATTGTAGGGAATGCATGAAATCCTTGCTTACCATAGCTCCTGACATTGGTTTAGGTGCAACAGCCAAAGTCTAGACCCTTTTAGCTTTTGACTTTGCACACTTTCTTCCATGTGAGGACACATCTAAATTTGCATTGGGAAAATGTTCTCCCACAAGCTCTATACACAGGAGACAAATGCAAACAACTCATTGTGGCGTCTGAATCCTGTCCTGAAATGGACATGCAAAGTATAGAAAACACAACCAAGCTTGCTTTTCAGTTTAGTGAATAAGGCCGATTATTTTTTATTAAAACACACTGCAAACAACATAGGCAACTTAAGGGCACTGGAATCGTGACATAAGTATATAAAATGATTAATTCAATTCATGGACGTGAATCATGAACTGTAAACATATAGGCAACTTAAGGACACTGGAATTGTGCCATGTGTACCTAAAATTATTAATTCATTTCATGGCCATAAATCCAGCAAACGTTGCGCCAACTTTTTTTTTTTTCCGAGGAAAAGTTCTGTTATAAATAGCAAACCAATGGGGCGGTATTATCCAAAACTCCAGGAACATCTTCCAGTGTGTATTAATAGTTTTTGTTTCTGACGCTCGCTCTACAGACGTGAAGGCTCATCAGGTTGGTATGGGGTGGTGATGGGCGTAAGGATTTTTTTTTATTATAATTTTTTTATTTTCTTTAAAATATATACAGTGGTACCTCGGTTCACCGATTTGGTCGTGAACCGAATCAAACTGTGATCGGACCCCGATCTTGACTAAAGAAAGCCATGGCCATGTGTCAGAGCAGGGAAAATGACTGCGGTTTTGTTCGTCAACCAAAGCGGAGTTCGTGAACAAAAGCAAAATTTGGATCAGCAGAGTCGAACTCCTTCTGCACTTCGGCAGAGCATGTTCGGCTGACCGAAGGCAGCTGTAGGCAGCTGATGTACGGCTGATGTTTAGTAAATTGTAAATAGCCGACCAGTAAATAACAATGTTCGGCTCACTTCACTTCGGCTCGGTTATTCACTCGGCTGCCTTCGGCAGCTAAGTGGATTGCCCCCTTAGATTTAGTGGATCCACGGTAATACTTGGATAGTGTCAATGGCAAATTTCCAATATCAATCTCAATTCACAGATATCTCCTCTCCTCCCATTGTCGTTAATACTAAAGATCTAGATTTAGATCAAAAATTTTAATCCACTAAATCTGAATATTGATTTGGAGGAGAGGAGTTATCCTTGAGCAGTGTTTGAGATTGGAAACCTTGTTACAAGCGTTATTTGACTAAAATGAATTGGTCTAACAAATCTGGTGAGTGAGGGCAGTGCACACAAAGCACCCCGGTCTTCCTTGCAAACGGATTCTGAAATGTCTCATATGAAAAAACGCACGTGTGGGGTTTTTTTGCAGTTACAAGAAGCATTTTGGACTGTTTACATTTGCACTATTGGGAAGCACTTTAACTGTTATTTTAAAAAAAATGTAAAGTGACATTAAACCCTCAGATTTTTTTACATAAAACAATACTGTAATGTGCGGCTTACTGTAATCCATGGTTGTTTCCCTTCTCTTTGCTGCTCTTCCTTTTAAATCTGTATCTGTTCAACATTATTTATATTTTTATTTATATGTGTTTGGTTTTAGCTCTGCATGTATTTGGATTTGTATATTTATTGTGGGGTGTACTGTATTAGCGCAGTATGTTTTTGATATTTATAGATACAATTTCCAAACTGACCCTAATATCTCCCTGTGCAATTTGTTAGCTTTCCCAATTTGTTTCCTTCGATATATTTATTATTTATTTATTACAGGTAGACATGTGCACCGGCAAAAAAATTTGTTTCGTTTTGATTCGGATTTTGCGTTATTTAGTTTTTTCGGGATTCGGGTGCGAAATTCAATTCGTTTCGGGATGCGGACGAAATTCGTTAGCGGTAGTCTGGATGACATTTTGTTGCGTTTTCGTTCGCTGCAGCTAAGTGACATTAGGAAATTTCTTTCTTTTTTTTTTTTTTACAGTCTGCAGAAGAGAAAAAAACAAAAGTGAGAGGTTCCCCCCCAATTCATACCAGACCCTTTAGGTCTGGTGGGAATGTTAGGAGGTACCCCCCAAGTTAAAACAAAAAAAAAGTGCCTGTGGTTCCCATCAAAATCCATACCAGGCCCTTTAGGGAGAAATTTTAAGGGGGAACCCAAGCCCCAAAAAATGGGATAAAAAATGTGTGGTCCCCCCCTAACATTCCTACCAGGGCACGTGGCCTGGCAAGGCGTGAGGAGGGGGGGCGATCGAGCGCCCCCCTTTCCTGCCCTGCCGGACCAGTGCTCGGATCAAGGGTCTAGTAGGAATGTTCGGGGGGACCCCATGGTTTTTCTCCCCATTTTTTGGGGCTGGGGTTCCCCCTTAAAATCCTAACAGACCTAAAGGGCCTGGTATGGATTTTGAGCACGCTTTTTTTTTTTTCCTTTTCTGCAGACTACAAAAAAAATTAGAGTCTCTCCCATCCTCTGGGACTCTTTACCGCAACCTGCCCGTCTATCTCCCACCTTGACTGCCTTTAGGCCTCAACCTAACCACTGAACCTTCACATTCTCACATAATTCATTGCCACAGCTACCACAGCTACCTCATGTATCATTTCCCCCTCCTCTTTTAGATTGTAAGCCCTCAGGGGCAGGGCCCTCCTTACCATCTTGCCTTGAATTGTATTGTGATTGTAATGTCTTCCTTATATTGTAAAGCGCTGCGCAAACTGTTGGCGCTATATACATCCTCTATAATAATAATAATAATAAAATACAAAAAAAATTTTTTTTTTTCTAATGTTACTTTGCTGCAACACAATTTCGTCCAGACTACCCCTAACGAATTTCGGAATCAGAAATTCGGATTCGTTTGCATTCATTATTTCTGTAATTCGGAATTCAGTTACATCCGAATCTCCGAAAATTCGTCCGAATTTTGATTCGGAACGAAACGAATCGCACATGTCTAATTACAGGTGTTTATATAGTGCCATCAATTTATGCTGTGCTTTACATACTATTTATTCACATCAGTCCCTTCCCTCAAGAAGCATACAATCTATGGTGGATACAATGTTACTGTGGTTGCTTGGTATTATAGGTTGGCTATTGTTGAAGATTACAGTTGCATTTTTTGTTTGTTTTCTCTCTGAAGGAAAATGAGGATCCTACTGTTCTTGGGTTTGAGTGTGGCTCTTTGCTCATCGGCCTTCGCCGACCAGCCAAAGGGCCAGGAGAGGAATCCTGGATACAGCATTGGCTCTTGGGTACCTCGCTACCAAAAATGATAACTCTGATCAGATCAAAGAAGACAATGGTTATAGAACCTCGGAGGTCCCTAAAAAAGAAATTCATGATGACAGCCACCAACCGCTTGATAAAGACAGCGAGCAGCTTCTCTTCAGTGGTAATGCCCTTTTTATAAGATCAACATGGAAAATCCCCAAAGGCGTTCTCAACAATCTCGAGAACATCTACAAATCTAAAGCCTTTACTGTAGACTTTTATAATACTGAAGATGCCAAGAAACAAATCAACAGCTATGTTGAAAACAACACAAACGGCAAAATTGTTGATGTGCTGAGCAGTGTAGACAAAGACACAGATTCAATTCTTGTTAACTTTATTCAATTCGAAGGTAAGTCAACAGGACTAAGTAATATGAGGAAAAAAAAAAGGACCTTTCACTCAAAGCAACTCACCTCTCCCCTATGCTAAAATGCCATACCAATGTAATGGTGCAGTGGGGGGATTGTATCATCCTGCTGATGGGATCTTGTTGAATGCTGAGTACTCAAAATCTCAAAAGAGAATACGCTGGATCAGGATCATGCTCTTGTTAGATTTGGGCTATTGTATATATATATATA